AAGATTCGTGTTCTCTTATTTTGTGGGAGCACACTGTGGAGAGTGTTTTTTTCTTTATTTTTAGCTGCCAGGGGTAAATTGGCAAAGCCTTAATGAATCAACAGTCCCTCGACCTCAGATCAAACGATAAGCAGTTCCAACAAGATTTGTCCTTCACAGACTTAATTGCTGGAGGGTGGAAAGATGGATGGTCTGATATTCTTAAGAGTTGCAGCATCTGTCCTGCATCCAAGTTTTTAAGAAAAACAAGAAATTGAATTAAGAAAGATTTATATGACTGTACTGAAGGACAAATTCTACTGCTGTGGTGCACTTGATTAATATGAGCACAACTTGTGTTCTCAACAAAAATACATTAATATTTGTGGTAGATGACAAACCCACAGAGAATAACTTTGTGGGGGTTGTGGCAGAAGAGTGTGGTGGGGGGGGGGTGCGACTGGTGGTGCAACTGGTGGTGCGACTGTCCCACCAGCATTCTTAGATAGTCAGGGAGAATTTAGTTCTCCAACATCATGTTACAGTCACACACACAGTAAACATGATCACACTCACAGTTAACATGATACAGGCATTAATTCATGACCTGTCAATGCTGCAGTACCACCGACTGAACACACTGTGGCAGCTCTGTGCCACTTTGGAGGAGAGAAGCCAGCTATTGCCTCATGGACAGATTGCATATGATTTTTACTGGTTCAGTATCCGCTCTTCTTAATGTAACACATTGCATAATGCACATTGAGCCGTTGTTCTCTTTTGCGTTCTCTTTATTCAAGTTTGTCACATATATTTGTGGGCTACTTAGAGCAATTACGTGCTTATATAATCTAGTTTTATTTGGGGGATTTAAACTTAGCATGTCTATTTCTGTATCTGCCCCAAATCAAAACAGCCTTTGCACACACTGCAGAGAACACGGAGTACTGCTTTTTCATCCACAGCACAACTGCAACTTCTCACTGACTCCCAGGAGAGTATTGCAAACTCTGTATATGAGTAACTTGAGCCACTCACGTAAACACTGCTCAGTGTACAGAGTACACATATCTTTTATGTTTGCTTTTTCTGCGGCTTTGTCAGCACAAACACGCACACTTTTGTGGTGTAAGCTCATCTTAGCTTTTGTCCCCTGTCACCTTTTGTCAAGTAGAAAATAGACACAATGTTGAGCTGCAGTTGACGCAGACACTCCCTGCTGTAGTACTAAGACTGTGGCAAGTGGGGGACGGCTGGATGGTGGGATTTAAGAGGAATGAACAAACAAACTGAAAGAGAGTCACTGAGTCAATGCTCACACACTCTTTATGAGAGAGTTCAGAGTGTGTTAACTCAGACGCACAAAGTGCAGATGACTGCGGATGTAGAAGTTAATTTCTCTGAGATTGTTGTTATTGCAGAATGAATGCACTCACAGGAAGTCACAATTTATTCTTACAGCGGTGAATTATTTATGTGTGTATTCTGACAATGAGCTACAGGTTCATGCAAACAAACAAATCGGAATCACATTAATTTTATGTATTTATACAACAGTAAGTTTAATCTTAATTGCCGAAGCAAAGTACTTTGTAACTTTCTTTTTAGAGGTGCTGCATATATACATGTGCTTATTTTTATTATTATGAAGTCTTACAGAGAAATAGGAGTTACTGTAACAGAATCTCTCTCCCTCGTGTGTGTGTGCGTGCTGTGAGCCAGAGAAAAGCAGCTTTGACAGAGGTGTGTAACACACCAGCTCTGGCGGCAGACATGGATGAGCTTAGTGAGATGCAGCAATGTGGAAACTGGCGTCGCACAAATGATTCTCACATGAAATCACGCTCTCTGTCTCTGCCATAAACTTTGTGTCCACTGCTTGTTCTTTAAACTTTTTGCAAAACAGAAACAAGGTCAACAAACTGCGAGCTGACTAAGTTATCAGAAAACAGAATCTGGCTTCCCCTTTCTTACACTATAATAACAGTTATTGTTCCGGTTATTACATGGATGTGTATGTACAGTGGGGCATGTATAGCTGCTTTAACCACACCAGCCTGACTGTGTTTGGAGTGAATAAACCTTTCCCTCTCTTATCCCCCTCTTCCTGTCCTCTATGTGCATCCTCTCATCCGCTGCACCAGTCAGTGCAGTTGCAGTCAAGTACCAGTCTTTCACCATTTAGGAGGAAATTGTTTTTTTCCTCTCTTCTCTTTTATTTTGTAAAAGTCTCCATATTTCACACTCTAATGTCAAGCCATTCTAACAGAGATTTATTTTTCATTTTTGTGCTTCGTCTCATGCCTGGCCATGACCCATGAAACACTAAAGGTTAAACAGGAGCAGGCACATCACAACCCACTGTGTCTTTGTACGTAAATCCTGTGAAAGCACGTGGAATGAGCTCCCATAAAATGGGTTTTATCAGACGCTTGTCCACATGCCTGTTTTTACTATGAGGGAAAAGAAACTGCAGGGTCTGGTCGAGGTGTAAATACAGCCACGCTTAAAGTAATGAAAACAAGGTTGGTGAGAGTGATAAAAAAGCAAAGCCTTGATCCTGTGGCTCTCAGAGAAATAAACCCTTTAAAACAGTCAATGCTGAGGTAAGATTTTGTTTAGGATCATAAATGCAGCCAATAAAAATGGAAGCGTAGCTATATTTGGCATAAATCACCCTGAAAACAGCTGCAGTCGTGGGGTGTTTTGGAAATAAAGGCAGATGATGAAGATATCTTTCGTGTGAGCAAGCACAAACAGAAAAGATAAACAAGCGTGAAACAAAGGAAAAAATAGGCATGATAAGGCTTATTTCCCTTTTGCTTCCGCTGATTACCAACTATGATGCTCCAACGCTCTGCAAACACAGACACTGGACATGGTTGTGTATGTCGGCGAGGGCCAGAAACGCCTCCCGGTGTCTTGGAATGAGCTTAGCAGCAGCCTCGGCACTCCTCAGATCTGTGGAGGGGTAATGAGTTAAGCAATGCAGACACATTGCTTAGTGCAGTAAAGCTCCAGGCTCCAGGTTTGATTTATACTGACTATGGTCAAGGCTTGGGGGGCTCTGTCATTCTTCAGAGCCATTCGATGTTCTCTTTGGCTGACCCTAAATTGGATTCAAGAGGGAAGTTCACCTATTCCGCTGCCCTCACGACAGTCACACAGCTGGGTCATTTGTTTCTCATATACCCCATTTGCGGGCCGCTGGCAGGAAGTGCTGCCCCACGGTAATGAAGATGTGACCTTGAGCTTCGACATCAACCACGTTACAGCATGGAAACCAGGAGCATAAGGACATTCGACATAAACACACACAGTGACCGACACACTGCAGGATTGCAAACAGACCTACCCAATAGACCGTTCATCATAAGCTCTGACAGGGAGGGAGGGTGATGGTGCTGGTGCTTGTAGTGATAAAAACTATACTGTCAGGTCTTCTGTCCTCAGGAAACAAGACAGAGTCGCAGGGGAAATGCTTTGCAATGATCGGTCTAATTTAAGTGGATATTGAAAAGTGTTTGTGCCAGAAAACTCTCCATATTGAATGCATTCATTATTTAGCCATCATAATGCTGCACTAATGGCTTTACAGCCAGTGTTATGCACATGAAAAGTGTGCTGGGCCTCTCCCACAAAGCTGAAAGGCTGGATGGATCTGAAAGTCTGGCCCCTTTGAGCAGAGAAGAATCATCCTCTGACCTCTCAACTTCCTGACAGGAAGATGAAAATTCATGTACACCCCCAGGGTTTGGGAGAAGTTCATCTATTTCCTGATATAACAAAGTGAGAAAAGGGACGCCGTGGCTGTAGCCCTCCATTTGGCGGAGAATCAAAGTCAAAGGCTTGTGTCTGGGGAACAAATGCACAGTGGCGTGCCGACAGCCCAAACACCCGGGCTGCACAGAGGAAAAGGTGAGGCAGCTGCTCCTTCGACCCAGACAAGTATTCCTGAGACACCTTGAAAGCATCCCAGCATTGTCCTGCAGACTCTCATAACACTGCTGCCTCATGGAAAAAACATGTGCTACATTGGCTCAGCGTTAAAGGAACCTCTAATTTCATCTCACACTGGAAGTTATTACACCCACTGTATGTACAGTAGCTTATATGATCACACTTTTAACAAAACAAATATAACTTTATAGACCTATATTACTATTTTATCTTTCATGCAGTTTAGGGCCATAACACACTACTCTATATGCACAATAAAGGTGAATGTGAGGCAATAACAGAAACTGATATATGTGTGTAGTTTCATTTATGCAACAATAAATAAAAAGATAGACGAACACATGGCTCATGGAGAAATATAACACAGTCAGTGATCCCTGCTCTGCAGTTCCCCCGTCTCAGAGTAAGATTAATCCAGTGGGGAGGCCCCTCTAAGAAAACGCCCACTGGCATTTACAGGCACTTGGCTTTAACTTGGAGTATTTTCACTGTTGATGAGAAGTTTTTCTTAAACTGACATGTAGCCTGAATGATGTGCGATTTCTCTTTGACCTTGAAACGCCTGTGCATATCTGTTGAAGCTTTGTATTAGCTCTACTATTAAGACCTGAAAAGATTCTACAGTACAGCTTTACAAAAAAAACCTTTGGTTTGATGTCTCCTTAAATTGTTTTTTTCTTACACACGTCGGACCATTACAATTGATGATTCAACATTTCAATTTACACTGAAAATGTTATATAATCTAATGTGCCTTACATTTTTAATAAATACACTGTACATTGTTCATTACTGGAATGCTGCTGAATGATTGTTGTTTGTTTCCCTGCTGCGTCTCCTGCGTTACGTTGGTGTTCTTGACTCGTACTGTCAGGAGAGCACGACAGGATGGTAATTTCGTGTACCTCATTGTATGAAATACAATCACATAATTGTGTCCTTGTTGGTTGTGGAAACCTGAAATGTCCAGGAGCTCAACCCTCACTGTATGTTACTTTGAGAGGGAGTGTGTGTGTGTGTGTGTGTGTGTTTGTTTGTATTAATCCACAGTTCTCCAGTTCCTCATGGGGGAGGGGGGGGGGGGGGGGTCTCACGAGTGAATCTCTGTCCGTCTCTCTCATAAATCACTATTGTTCTTCGGAACCTGATTCCTCCTGAGCGAATATGAATTCAGCCTCAAGCATCCATCTCTAATCCACTTTCTTTGATTTAACAAAGTTTGTTCACATTATTAGATTTCGACCACAGCTTTCTCAGGACCACTCCTGCATCTGAAACATCCGTGTCATCCCCCTGTCTGTTCTCAGTCCAACAGCAGTCTTCCCCTCTGTCTGTGTCTCTCTCTCTCTTTTCCTTCAGCCCATTGATTTGTTTTCTCTACACCCACAGCTTTGTCTTCGTCTTTGTACATTAGGCGTGCCGTAAGGCCATTAATGCAGCTATCCACCCTCTGCATTCCTGCTGCTCTGCTCTGTCTGAACAGGGCGAGGGTGTAATTCAATGCACTGGCCTCTACACTAAGCAGCTAGAGTTGAACATGTCTTTACTGTCAAGGGCATTTTGTACTGCAGATGCCTTCTGATGGTGACTTCCGCTGTATGTTCCACAGTGCCGTCATAAATGGTGTTGACATCTTCAATGACACCCTTCTTTACTGCTGGGGGGGAGAGGACAGGTGATTTAAGGCAGAGATCCTGTTGACAGTACAGCTGTCCTTTGTTGCTGGAAACATCTGGTGGAGGTCAGCGCTCTGTGCTGTCAGGGCTGCGATGCTGGAGGTGGTGTTGGTGGTGTCCTTGTTACGAGCACATGTGCGCCCATGCGTGTCTTTTCAAATATGACATGTTGCTGTCTCTTCAGCCTCTGTCAGTACAGGCTGTCCTTGGTGGAGGTGTGTGTTGTGGTGGAGTCGTCCGGAAGCGAGCCCCGGCGGCCGGGTCGCGACCAGCAGTGCAGCAGGTTCTGCAGCTCTCGGGACACGCTGCTGGAGAAGGCTGTGTAGATCCATGGGTTTGTGCATGAGTTCAGATTGGCCAGCAGCATCAGGAGGGTGAAGGCCACACCTGCAGTGAACACACGAGATGATAAGTACATTTAAACGCAGGAGCAGGCATATGGATATAAAATGTTAATCTTCACATGCAGCTTATGTGAGCTATAGGGGGACAGTCTTCCAGCACATAACATCATGCACCACATTGTTCTCTTCTCTCTTATGAAACAAACATAAATATCCACGACTATTCAGTTTGAAGATAAACTATTCACTATGATTGTTTTTCATTTTATTTCCTTCGACAGTGGCACCAGGACTGCAAATATCTCAGGGGGACAAAATCCTACATACTTCCCTTTTCTGTTTTCTTTTTTTAGGCTAATAATAAGTCTTTTTTGTCTTAACTAAAACATGATTATTCCTCTGCGGCAAGTAGAGGACAATAGAAAAGCACAGACAGCTTTTTGGAATACAAAGTTGATTATAATCAACTCTCCCTCTCTGTCTCTGTCTTTGTGTGAGTGTGTGCGTGTGTGTGTGAGTGTGTGCCAGAAAGGATTATTCATGTGTATGCACACTTGTACATGTATATATGCATGCCCTCTGTTTGTAGATGTGTGTGTGTGTCTATGTGAGTGTGCGTGGTTCGTTCTGTGTTTGTCTGCTTGTGATTTTGTCTATGTGTACAGGCTGCTGGCACGGATCATTGTTGATGAAATGTCAACATCTGGCCACATTGCAAAATCGGCAGGGGATATAAACAGGTTATTTACTGGCCCTGGGTGTTTGTCTTTAGCTTCAGATCTAGGACATCCACATGGTCCATACTATCAGCCACCACTTGAGGATACACTTGCCTCACGAGCTCGATCCCTGGTTGCCAGTAAAGACATCATCAGATGCCGTTTGTGTGCCAAAATGCACAGAGTCCAGGGATATCATCCAGAGGATCCTCGCTGTGAGTCAAAACTAACAGTGCTTTTCTGACCTTCTATTTCACTCACTGTTCCCACCATCTGACCCGGTGCTTGTGCTTTTCAAATAATGACGTGCATTGTATTCAAACCCGACTGCATTGATCAGAGGTTGTTGATACAGATCATTTAGCTGTTGTTTTTGGATGGTCAAAACAGACAAGGTTTGCACATTCAGAGCAACTACATGCAGGAACTGGACTGTGGATACATCTGAGGAAAAGCAACAAACACAAGAATGGGACTCAGTAGAGTGTATACCTGCGCCAAGGCCCGACAGTCTCCTTAAATTCTACCACAGTTTCACACAGTCATAAATATCAGTTCCCATATTCACAAATTACAATTTGTCTCATAGGGAATAACAAGGTGCGAAATCCTCTGTCTGTGTAAATGTGCGCCTTTTTTCATCAAGAAAAAATTCCTGGATCGGCCCCTGATCCAGATCCACACCAAAATTAAATGGATTCCTCCCTGGCCCACACCTCATTCGTCCATCAAGTTGGTTTTGTGTAATGTTGATGTGATGTCTGTTTAGAGTATGTGCACCAGGACTGTTACAATGATGGACCAAAGAAAACTCTGGTAACATGGATGAAGCCTGTTTGTGACTGACCTTGGTCAGGAGGGTTGGGGTCCCAGGCTGCCCACAGCTGGACGATGAAGAAAGGCGACCAGCAGATAGTGTAGACCAGCACAATGACCAGAGTCATCCTCACGGTCTTGGACATGGCTTTAGTGATGCTCGGAGGTGGAGTGACTGGTGGGGGAGGGGGGACGTAGTCAAGGGAGCAGCGGGGTGATCCTGACACCAGCATGTAGGACGTGTAGGAGTCCTGACAGTCTGAGTTGTTTACTGTTTGCTGCTGCTGTGTTGGTGATGTTGCTGTTGTCGTGTGTTCACCACAAGAAGTGTTGTACTGGATGGCGGACGGTGCATAATCGTAACACTCTCCCGCTTGGCTGTTTTGCATGTTATTGTGAGGGCTGTTATTCACACCCTTCAAGGGCTGCGGCCCTCGCCCGTCCCTGCCCCCAACTCCGGACGCCCGTCTTCCTCTCTCTTTCGCCCGCTCATCTCCCTTCTTGAAGCTGTGGAAGCGGAAGAGGATTTTGCTTTTCTTCATCTCAGCCATCACCATCCTCTCTGACTTCAGGTAGATGTTGTTGTGAATCTCTCTAAAGATCCTTATCTGGAAGAAAAGGAGACAATCATGAATTACACAGTCCAATAGGATTTAATCAAGACACTGAGTGCCTGATGATGAGTTTTATTACTGGTGTGTGCCAGACTGCCAGTGTGATTTGCTTTTACAGACAATCTTTTTTTGTGTTTCAGCTGCGGCAGTGACAGGAAATTTGGTACAAAGTAGAAAGTGTGTGTTGGTCTTTACCATCAGCCATAAACCAGTCAGACATTTATACACAGCATTATTAAACACAAATATTCAACTACTCTGTTACACTGTGAATGACTGCCAGAAAATTATATTGCAGCAAAACAATTTGTCACAGTCTCCTGAGCAACTAAAACAATAGTTTGAAATCAAGTAATAATAGATGATTCATACTAAATACTCTTTTTTTTTGCCAAATGTTGCTCTTCTGCCACTTTTTACTTTTAAAAGCAACTTTATGAGAGCGTGGTTTGATTAAAGGCTCCACTCTCACTCCATCCAGTGTGTCCAAGTAAAGTAAATACAATCTAAATGGTTTCCGTGTGGAGATACTTCAGAAAAAGAGTCGTCTTTACTTGAAATCTGATCATTTAAAAAAGGTCAGTATTCTATGTTTGGCAGAGATCTGGTACATTCCACTTCCTGGCAGTAGCTTCTGAGCGGGCAGATTTTCTGAGCACCCGTCTCAGCAGTGGTCCTCCAAGTGCTGTGTTAATTAGGGGAAATAGCTGGACCCTGGAAATATCTTTCCCCAAATAGACCAGCAGGGCTGATGGGAGGCCGCCCAGAATGCGTCTGCGCCATGGGATGCTACATAACACCGACCTCAGTCCCCCACGGGTTATCAAACAATGCCAGATGCACCCTCCATGAAAACAAAACAGCATTTCATTCATGCCACACGTTTCTTTATTATATAACGTTGGTCACAGTGTGCAATCCTAGTCAGTGGTCGACGCAGAGATTGAGAGTCCTGCCAGAGAAACCAGTATTACCTGACAGATGGTAATGATGAGGGCGGGCAGGAGGAAGACAGCCACAGCCATCCAGGTGACGTAGGCCTTCAGCCCCCACGGCTCAGTGAACTGACCCCAGCACTCAAAGTCTCCCGGTGCCACTTCCAAGCGAGAGAAGATGAACACCTGACAGGCCAAACAAAAGCAGGGCGGTCAGCACAGCGACAGACATAACGGTCAGCATCCTCCTCCCATTAGCTGAACTTCAGTGACCTCATAGAGCTAAAAACAGACCCACATCTTGAGTTCTACTGTAGAAACCAGGGTGTGAACGCCCACCGGGATCTCATTTCCTATTTCATCATTTGTGCATGTGAACATACGAGTTTCTGTGTTGACCCCTCCCTACCTGTGGTATGCTGAGGACAAGTGCCAGAGCCCAGGCCACCATGACAGGGGTGTTCCAGCGGGACATTGCTCCCCCTCGGTAGGCCTGCAACGGACAGCAGATGGCATAATGCCGGTCTACTGTCATGGCAACTATCATATAAGAGGAAGCAAACATGCCCACAATCTGCAAGTACTTGATAGCCCGGCAAAGCAGGTCCGGTCCCTGAAACCTCTCTGTGATGTCCCATATCAGCTGAGGAAGAACCTGATCACACAGAAAGCAGTTATTAAAAATAATTATTTAAGTGGCTCTTAACATAGTGGAGCATTTTTCCTGTTATAAAAATGAAGAAAATATTTTCATCAAATCAGGAAAAGAGTCAAACCAACATTAAATTTCTCCAAGCAGAAAGTTTCACCCGATTTTAGCCTATTCCTTTGTGCCGTAGACCGCCACTGTTGTCCAAAAACACATACATGAGGCACACTGTTGTACTAAGCAACACGTTCCTTATAATTACCATAAACATGGTTAATCAGCAGTTTTTACTCCTGTTTTCAGATAAAAATACACCTCCCAGCATTTCAGTAAAATGGGTGAGCACCTTCAACACATGACATGTCTGTACAGTGAAAAATAAAACTCATTACCAACTTTTAAAAAATACTTACTTTTAATTTTTAGTTGTTAACAAGTCAACACAATTGCAATTTAAAATATAACTCAATTTCTTGTGTTGCCAATTGAAGTATTTTTTAAGTTGGCTCAACAGTGGGGTTTTTTTTTGCCGTGTATGTTAATCTTAAACATTTCTTTCTTTACTATTCCACAGAATTCATAAAGTATTTTTCTCATTTACTGACAATAAAGTTTAACACTTTTTTTAAACCTTCAAATGTTTAATATTTGTCATTTACAGGTATAGTAATAATTTGCTTATTCTGTTAAAATAATATTTTTTATGTACAATTACAATTTAAATCTGATACACTGCTGTCAGTTACATATACAAACAAACATGACGAATGATTGTACTGTGGTGGATCATATGATATTTAATATACAGATACTTTGTGAACTAACCTGAAAGAGCGCCACCACCAGGTCAGCCACACACAGATTGACCATGAACACGTGCATGGGTGCATTATGCTTCCTCCTCCTCAGCAGCACCCACAGCACAAAGCTGTTCCCCAGGGTGGCGAAAGCCAGCACCACCCCGAGCACCGCGATCTCTGCCCTGGCCAGGCCGGGGTCCCTGGCCCTGGGCTGGGGCAGGGTGTGAGGTGTGGTGTTGGAGCCATTCTCAGGGAATATCCCAAAGAAGGACCCCCCGCTGTGAGAGGCGTTGACCGAGTTCAGCTCGGAGACGAGCAGGGGCAAGGGGGAGAGGTTGCTCCTTCCCGTGGTGACCAGAGAGGAGAGAGCTAACCCATCCCAGTCTGTTTCCACACTGATGCTTTCCATTCCTGAAAGACAAACAGTTCATGTTTTACAGTTATTTTTGTGGTTTGTTAACATGATGTTCTTTGCCAAATAATCAGCAGGACTCAAACGGGTGCAGGATCATGAGATCGCAAATGTTCGGATTTTGCACGGCAACGATTGTATCAACAAACAATTTATTTGTTCTGAATAATCACAATATCAGTCTGACCATTTATTGCACTCCCTCCTTTCACCCTCAGGCGTGTCAGCTGAGCCATTTTGCTTTTGGGTTTTTTTCATTATCGAACCGCAGAGCATACAAACCAAGCACATCCGGCCTTTTAGGACGTGTGTTGACGAAGGGATCAGCCACAGAACCTTTTTGTTTTCAGTGCATCTGTCACATTTTCACAGCAGATATTATAAATAACTTCTGTTGCTCAATTTCATTAGATTTGAGCGAAAGCAGTGAAAGCCGGACACTGTGCTGTGTCCCACTCTGTCTCCCGTGCAGGTCATGATTTAATTTATTTCCGTTCTGTCAGTATTATCTATATCCTGTTTTGTTGTGGTTTCACTGGCTTTCCCCTCGTGTCAGATCTCACTTTGCAGCCCTGATTGGTTTTCTGGCCGCTGCCATTGTCTGTCAGGACCTTATTTAACCTTTGTCTCATTGTCTCCCCTCTCCTGGTGTATTTACTCTCTGTGCTCACTTCCCTCTGTGCCATTTTGTCACATGGTTCCAGTGCCACTAACTTAGCAAGCATTATTCATAGTTATTCATATTTAAGCTTTTCTTTTTGACATTTTCACTGAGACTAATTCATGGATCTTGATGGAAAGAATCTGTCTAATTTAAATGACTGATATAAGTGTGTGAAATTTGGCAAATTTTGCAGTTTGATTGAATTTAAAGGGGCTGTTGAGCCTCGGCAGAGGTATTCACTCATTTGCTCTCGACAAGTTTTTGACCTCACTTCTGCCTTATCCCTTTGGAGTTGTAGGCCTGTGTGTTATTTGACTTCCTGGGAATCGACAAAGAATTTTTAGAGCCCCGTCGTTGAGTCATTTCTCAACATTTCACTTCGGACTCCTCTGCCTTGTTCTTCAGGAGTACTTCTGCAAGTCCTCTGCTACCTCCCTGTCACCTCATCACAAATTCGACTGTACTTCGACCTACACCCTGGTGTTTCTCTCTCTAGAGGTCATCTCTCCTCCCTAACTTCCCCTTAGAGGGAAGCCAATGACAAATACACCTCAGCCTCCTTGATAGCTGGAATTTATCCTCCTTTCCTCTTCACCTGCAGAAACCAATTTCTTTATGTGGACAACTAAGACAAATCACTCGTCCCCTGCATCGACTATCAGGGGACTCAACAACATTATACCATCAAGAACCGGTACCCCTGCCCCTCTAACAGTTATATAT